CTGCTGTTATGGTCATTTTTGTGCCACCATTTCCAGAGAAATAAAATGGCTCCTTGATAACCTGTGTAGAAGAATAAACAGGTTATCTCTTCTTCTTTCTAGTTTTGATCATAATTTTTCAGTTATTTTTCTGGTTTGGGTTTTTTTTCCTTTTCTGGTTTGTTGTGACTCTTGTAGTTCATATGGAAGATGGCTCATGGATTGGCAGCTCTCAGCCTCTTCTTGCACAGAGAGAGACATTAGATCGCTCAAGGAGAATCACTGACAGGTCCACAGGAAGGACTGCAGAGGTCCACAGAAGCAACTCAGAGTGCAGCTGCCTTGCTCTTAGCTCTTGCCTTCATAGCAGAGTGAACTCAAGGTGAGACAGGAGAGCTGCTGTGACACAACAGCATCCACAAAATCTTACCTTGAATGTGGAAGATTTCAAATTCCCACTGGTTTTTTGTGGAGAGAGTAGGTGCAAAACTGGATTCGCACAGCTGTCAGCAGCCAGGGCACCCCCTGCACACCTATCTTCCAGCCTGTGCTCTCTCCCTCAAGCTAGACCAAACCTAGAGGAGCTAAGTTATGTGTTGGTACTTTGAGTTTAGGTGACTAACCACGGTTTGTTGGTAGCTTCATCTATAACTGGATAAAAGACTTTAATTTAATCTTATGGAGAAACCTTTTGTCCAGGAATTTTTAGTCACTTCTATCTATATTAAAGAGAGAAAAGCTCTTCACTCACTACTTATGCCTTCAATGCTTTCCTGCCAGCTTTACAAATAGAAATTTTCCAGATTCTTCAGCTTTACAGTTTCCTTTTCTTTTAGTCATGCCATACACCCCAGGTCTAAATCCTATACTCAGGTTGAAAATGAACTTTCTGTTCCTGGATGTGTGTGTATCTCTGCCTCTCACTCGGGTGATGCCAGCTCAGCCTGGCACTTCAGCAGAGCCTGTGAGCTGAGCCATAGATCATCCTGCCCAACGTCAGTCCTTCTCCCTGGTGTTGATTGAAGGATGGAAGGGTACTTCTCTTTGGAAGTTAGTTGCTCTGTGGTTCAAATATATATTGGCTGGTGAGTCTGGATGAGCAAAGACTCAGAATCCTCCGAGTAAATCCTCAGAGTAGTGGATACTTTCTTGGCAGTGGGGTCAGCAAAAAAAGAAGAAAATCCCAGGCTTTTATGGATGTAAATAGATGTTTAAAAAAATAACTGTTACTTTTCTCTAAGCAATGTCAAAACCTTTATGAGTACACAGAATGGCAAATATTTCCTATTCCTTAACCCCAGCAAAATGTTAATATTCAGATATTTCTCCAGAAAGCGTTACACCAAATAGCAGGTTGTCACTGCCACCTGATCAAAGGAAGGCTGCAAGCTCAGGGCTGTGCCTGTTTCCCCCCCCCCCCCCCCTGTCACATTACTTTGTGCCCCAAGTCCCATGGAGACCTCACCCCTTTCCAGCTGTGTACAGGCCCCACTTTGACCCCACAGTAACCACCACTTTCCAGCTAAAGGTTAATTACTCCAGGGGACATTTCCATCCAAGTTGTTGCCCGCAGGTTGCAGTCCCTTCCTGAGTGCTATTTTTAGACCATCTCCTTCCTTGCTATTGATCCCAGTCACCCTCTGTTAATTAGATACACACAACACACACAGCATTTGCAACTCATTTATCAATTCTGTTCAGCACCTCCCTCCCCTGAGATGTAATTTGGAGCCCTCCTTGAATCATGCTATTGATCTTTCCCAGCAACTTTGCTATAGGATTCTCTGTGTTGCAAACTATTTATAGATTCCTCTTCTCCTGCTCTCCCTTGGGGAATCAGAAATGGGCAATGGTAATCAGACTTCTATTTTTAAGGAGTTGATCGAAACCAGATATTTCCTCTTTTCTCCTCCTTTCCCCTCCTTCCCCCTGTTGCTTCTTTCGGCAGGTGAGACCTTGTTGCTGCATGCGGTGCTGTAACAATTGTAGTAACGCTCAGGTGACGTGATGCAGAATTTGACCTGAGTTAACTCTTGTTTGCTGAATTGATGAAGTCAATTCTTCCTCCTCTCTGCATCAGGAGTTTCAGAAAGGGCTTTATGACCAGTTTTGTCTGCTTATCTTGGGGTGCATCTTTCAAAGGGCTTCATTCTTGGCGATTGACTTCTGTTCTGATCATCTGCCCCCTCATATTTCAGGAGATGTATCCAAAGGCACTAGACAAAGTCTAACCCAGAGTGAGACAGAGTTGCTTTTAGGGATGGAAGGTAATTAGCCCCAGGGGCCTAGGATTTGAGAGAGACCTAAAACAAGGGAATGTCATCTGAGACTCAGAAAAGTCAGGACCAGCTCAGCCCTCACTGAGTAAGGCTGAAAAACCCAGCCCTAACTGAGGAGGATGCCTACAGTTCCCAAGGGCAAGGCAACACCAGGAGGGGCAGCCTTGTCTCAGAGAGGACATGAAAGCAGCCCCAAGCTCCTCTGGTAACACCTGTTGCCGGAAACCTGATCGTCAAGGGAGAGATAGGATGTGGACTAGAGTCCCTGAGGGATTGCATCATCCCAGGGTGGTGGCTCAGGAACTTTGGGGCTGGGGATGGACTCGGTGAGACTGGGCTGTCTCCTCTGAGCCACTGGGAACATTTTGCTGTGTGTATGTGTGCTGTATGTCATGATCATAGAACCACATAATGGTTTGGGTTGGAAAGAACCTTCAAGATCACCCAGTTCCATGCCTGTGCCATGTGTCTGTGCACATCTCTGTGCTTGGGGGACTATGCTGAGGCTGGGGAAGTGACTGTGTGGTGTGGAGGTGGTGCGTGGAGGGCTGTAGTGTGGGAAGGTTTTGGTGTGTGTGGTGCTGTGGTGCATTTGGCTGAGGATCTGAGCAAGTTGGGGGGTGTGTGGCTGTGGTGTGTGGTTGTGGGGTGTGTGGCTGTGGTGTGTGGAGGTCCGTGTGTGTGTGTGTGGAGGGGCTGCCTGAGTGGAACTGAGGTGTGTGGAGCTCTGTGTATGCAGTGTCAGGATAAGGTGTGGTGAGTGGTTGCACTGTGTGTGATTGTGGGGTGTGATGCTCCGGGTGTGTAGGGCTGTGTGTGTGTGTGTGTGTGGTCGGTGACGTGCAATGCTCAGGTGTAGGGCTATACGGGTGTGTGTAGGGCCGTACGGGTGTCTGTAGGGCTGTATAGGTGTGTGCATGGGGGCCATGGTATGCGATGCTCAGGGTGGGTAGAGCTGTGCATGTGTGTATGTGGTTGGTGGCGTGCAATGCTGGAGAAGAAGGCAGTGGTGTGTGAAGCTCAGGGTGTGGAGCTCTGCGTGTGTGCCTGTCGGTGGTGTGTGGGGCTGTACGTGTCAGTCTGTGGAGGGGCGGTGGTGCGTGGAGCTGCGGTGCGTGAGGCCACGGGGGAGGCGGGCACAAACCCGTCCCGGCCGCTACCCGCTGCTCGGCTGGAGAGCGGGAGGGGCTCCGGGCTGTCCCTGCGGGAACGGCACGAGCCCGCCCCGCTCCGGGCTGTCCCTGCGGGAACAGGGGCGTGGCCGGGCCCGGGGGAGGTGGGAGGGAGCAAGGGATGCTCCGCGGCCGCTCCCAGCCGGGGCGGCACCGAGGGGGTTAACGCACTCCCCGCCGCGGGCCGGGGCGGGCTCCGCATCCCGCATCCCGCCTCTCGCGGCGGAGTGGGCACGAGCACACGCACACACTCACACACACACACGCACACGCCCGCACACACGTACACGCTCTCTCGCACACACACGCGCAGGCGATGGCTGCGGGGCGCGGGCTCGCTTCTCCCCGAGATGATGTCAAGAGCCCGGGAGAAGGAGGAGGAGGAGGACGGTTGCTCTTTTTCTTAACGGCTTTGTTCTAAAACCCATCCTAAATAAAGCAGCCCCCGCCCAGAGCGCCGGGGGAGCAGCCGTGAAAGTACCCTTTTATTTTCCAGTTCCTTTTTTTACCCTCTTTTCCTTTTTTTTTTTTTTTTTTTTTCCCTTTTTTTCTTTTTTTTTTTTTTTTTTTTTTTTTTTTTAATCTTTATCCTCGTCTCCGTCTTTGTGTCCGCCTCGGGTCGAGCTGCCCTCCCGCGCTCCCCGGGGGAAGCCGCCGGCGTTTCTCCGCTC